GGACTTTTCTATTCATTTTACCGCACACGAGCGTTGGCACGGACATTATGAAACATCCTATATATTTATATTGTATACAGGGTGTCCCGCTCAAGCCGCTCGAGGTCTAGTCCGGCCTAGTCTATCATACATTGGCTGCTGGAAGCGCGTTTGAGAGGCAAGAGGGGAAACGCGCCGTGGCTCGGCGCCCGGCTCACGTCTCGCCGCACCGCGCCGAGCCGGGCTAGACCTCGAGCGGCTGGAGCGCTTCTCTCAACGCGCTCTCATTAGTCCAAATGTAAAAATTAATATCTTGTTTATTATTGCGAATATCGTAAAACGGTAAAGGACTTTTATATTTATTTCAATCCCATCTACCTCCCAGTTTCCGGTGGGACAAGTTACGCGGGACACCCTGTATATAAATTTTTCAACATTTATACATACAGTAAATCCTCGATTTAACGGACTAATAAGGGTGAAAGAGTTTGTTAATACCAAAAGTCCATTAAATCGAATGTTACCAAGAAAAGAACATTTTTTACCATTTTTTACTCTTTTCAAATTCAAATATTTTAATGCAAAAATAGCTTTAATACAATATAAAATATAAATTTATTCATGAAATTTACACGCTTTCTTTTAACTTCTGTATTCATTTTGAATTGTTTGGATTGCGAAATTATTTAATAAATAAAATAAAAATTCAGAAACACTCTGTGTGCAATTAACGTATGATAACGTGAAATAGACTAACAAGGAAAGTAACGCAAGTGTTCCCCTTTAATTTTGAGCTTTGAATATGTTATAAAGTAACTCAAAATAATAGACCCGTGTTTGTTTCTTTCTGCGTTCTCGCACGTTTAGGGGCTGAAACAACCTCTACAAGCTAAAGCAGCCCATTTGGTTTTGATCGAATATCATTAAAACTGTAAGAAATATAAAACAAATTTGTTTAAATCACGCGAGCAACATGACGCGTTTGTCCTACAGAATTGTTGATTTCCTAATATATGAGAGATAAATGTTAAAAGCGTGGGGTCTGAGTAGTTTAGTGGTCAGAACATTCGCCCGGCAAGCGGAAGACCCGGGTTCAATTCCCGGCTTAGCCACTCGCGCCCTGATATTTTTTCTCTCTTCCTTTCTCTCCAATAATTCCTATATGTAAGTAAATGTTTCTTAATATGAGAACAATATACTTATAATTTCGTACACATTAGGTATCTCGATGTGAGATCGGTGTACAATTTAACTGTCTCTTGTAGATTAATTTATTAAATAATTCTTTAAGAAATTAAATTAAAAATGTAGCACTAACATCCTGCGACGGCTCTGGATGCCATTCTATTATATTTGTTATAAAACAAATGTTTCGAATAAAAGTTATATGATTTTTTATGGGCTTTATAACTGTGCAGCTGGATTTTAAAAAAATGTTATATTTTTTTTATTTACCCCCACCTCTTGTTTTTATTTTTACGAATTTTAAAATTTTTGTAATGACAAAAGTTATAGCATTTTTTACGCTGAATTCAACTATATATGATTTTATTATGTTTCGTATCGTTTATGCTGCGCTTGTGTTGTGCAATAGTATTTTTTATGATATACATATACAGAATGTCCCACCAAAAGTGGCCACCCTCTTTTATTTTTTAAATTAAAAGAGATAGACCATAACAAATATATATCAAATTAAATGGTTCAAACTGAGCTCTATTGTGAGCATAATAGTTGCTTACAAAAGCTATTCGTGTTAACGAACGGAGAGGTATGCACAATTTATTTATAATAATGTGGATATCTTGTAAGAAATTGTAGCGTTGTTTGAAAAGAATATAACAATATATGATTTAATATAAATATTTTACATATCGTACGAGTTTTATTGGCTTGAAATCGCGGGCGACGTTTACCTTTTTACTTTCGGCCCTGCGATATGACCAACTTCTGACTTGTGCGTTAGAAATTGACGTATGTCAATTGAAGTTATAGCGCTGTTAATTATTAATTAATTATTGAAGTTTGCCATATCAATGACATATCAGTAAGCCATGTTGTTATTATTGAACATATTATTAATAATGAAATATAGATTTTTTATTTATTTATTACTTTCATAATTACTTATCAACATTACTTAATTGTGCATATAACTAGTAATTCTAATCTTAAACTAAACATACATACATAACATACGACCGCTGAACTAGATCGGTACGTTATCCATCTGGACCGTTACACAACGTCATGCGAATTTTTTATATATCTCTGACAACTCAAGTAAGATTAGTTTTTTAATTTTATAACTCGGACATCTCATACCAATTGTACGTAGGCTTAGTGTAAACGGCTGAATTCTCTAATCAAAATACGATAACCTTGCGACGTATACTTATTTTTATTATTCTCATGTTATTTCTTTCTCGAATTTTCGTTTGCTGTTATGAATTTTTACTGAAGATAGCCAAAATAAATGAGCCGAAACGTTTGAATTAACTAATTGTTAACTTTTCTTTACTGAGCAATTAACACCCAGCTCTGGGCTGACAAAGCTATATTTTTTAATATAATAATTTGTTTATTAAAAAAGCCCAAATAGACAATTTCTTTATTTTTAATTTGAGTAAATTATTAAACCCGCGAATTAAGTCAATCCCACAAAATCGTTTTATTCCGATTCATAGATTGTCGAATAGGCAAATAGCTTACTGACTTAAATGATAGGAGCAAATACTTTGAAGAATCTCAAAATGGGACAGATTTTGGACAAGTAAATGTTGCTGTATACGTTTTATGGTGTATATATTTATGCTGTACATAATTTAACTGTCACTGATGGTGATTCGGATTCCACAGCACCTCGTTAGTGTTACAATTTGAAGAGGCTTTGCTAAATCAAAACTTTTCCTTTCGTAATATCAGTCATGCTACTTGATACTTTTCGACATGAAACAAGAGAAGTGCAATCGCGTTCTTTAGCATTTTTTGATATGAAACGGGATCACGCTTGGCACTTTTTGAGCCTATTTTTATAATAACCCGTGGTACTCAAACGATTAAAGAACTTTGTATGTATGTGTCTTAACATTGTAAGAGAAGAAAAGCAAATAATAATAAAAAAACAAAAATGTTAAAAGATTTATATGTTAAAGTAAGATTTATATGTTAAAGTAATTCCAGCAATTTCTTAATTATTCGAGATTTATTTGAAACTTTAAGAAAGAAATATATGCAATGTCGAGTATTATATTAATTTTTCTAGAATTTTTTATTATATACACGCAAAAAACACGGGCCAAACTGTAGCACAATTTTTTAACATCTTTCAATAACGATAACTCAGCAAAATATCATCGTATTGAGATAAAATAAAGCTCAAACTAAAGCTTCAACCTTCCTCTTAACAACTAAAAAAAAAAAAAAATTGAGTTACAAAAAATGTTTTATAAAATGACAAACATTGAAGATATACTTTGAGAAAAGGGGAAAAAAATTTTTTTAAACTATTGCATTGCTCAGAGGAGTTGGCCGCCTGGTACAAAAATGTATGAGTTTTTAAGCTCATTAGTTCCTAACAAATCCATATTTTAAACATTTTTCTACGACCTTTTTTAATAAAGTTATACCGTTTTGAAAAAAAATGTTACAAAATGGACAACTTTTTGTTGTAAAATCTGCATTTCAGAAACAAATTATCATGGAAAACTTTTTCAAAAAGGAAATTCAAGTGTAAACTTTAAACCTTATAATTTTTTTATTTCTCCACGATAAGATAATGTGCAAAGAATGTACGCTCTTTTTAAAATAAAAAAAATTTGTCGATAATAAACATTTGTTTA